TTTCGGAGGGCTGAACACTGGGACCAGCAACTCTCCAAGCAATCCAAGTGATATCACCTTCGAGTGAGTCATGGGGAGGGCAGGGTGGAGAAGGGCAGGCAAGGAAAGATCATGAGATTGTGCTAAGTCAAACAAGCTGAAAACTAATGGGATGTGTGTTTGGATACGTGGAGGGGAGATTGCATCCTGCATCCATTCCCAGCCAGTGCAGGGTGCAACAGTGATGGGGACCATTTCCATGGCTTCAGAGATGTGTACCTGGATGGTTTTGCCCCAGATGTGAGTCGAGTGGTATTAACTAGGGGAAAAAGTACACACAGAGCGTATCAACACATATGTCCTGTGCACACACACGGTAAGGACAGCAAATAAATCACTCTTTTGCTTTCACTTCAGAGCACATACTTTATCGGCTCAGCTTTGGCACCACCAGGAGAATGAAATCCAATCTTCAGCTCATGTTTGGTCTGAGTCCAGTCTCTTTGCACAGTGCAGGATGATTTTCCCTGAGCTCATCTGCAGCTTTCTTAATTTCTTAGTGATCCTGAGGGAAATTCTCTAGGGTTACAACAGGACCCTCAGCTAATGCTCAGACCAAGCTCTGTCACCAGGATTCAGGCTTTGAAAGATGTGGAATGAACTCCTATAAACTGATGAAAGTTATAAAGGCTCCAAATTGACTTTCAAGCCCCCAGCAGTATTAGAATCATAGAATCACAGAATAGTTAGAGTTGCAAAGGACCTTAAGATCATCCAGTTCCAATCTGCTGTCATGGGCAGGGACATCAAACACTAAACCATGTCATTTATTAGAAGACAAAGTCTTCAGCAGGATCCCATAAGCCAACATGGAGTCATCTCAATAAGGCAGTGGAGAATGTAAAGGATGAGGCTCTACATCCTATCCTACATGATAGTATTCTACGTTGAGATACAACCAGGATCCTCCATCCACCAGGAGAACAAGCATCACTAGGTGGTCAGTCAGGGTGGAGAAGGTTCACTTCTGAGGGTCTGTCCCTACTCCCCAGGCTGCCTCTGTGTTAAACATGTGGGTTTGATTAGGTTGGATGTTGAAGCAGAGCAAAGACAAGCCAAGTCTCGGTTGTCTTCTCCCTGTGAGGGCTCTGGGGTCCCAGATGCTCCAGGACGGCAGGGGGTTGTTGGATCCCAGCACATATACTGCATGTATTGTCAGTGCTCATCACACCAAGACCACCCCATGGATGTCCCCAAGGTGTGGGTCAGCACCTCCTCCTTTGGAGAGCACACAGAGCTTTGTCCACGTGTTGAGCTGGATGCTCAAGAGAGGTGTCCAGAGGGCTGATTATGAGTGAGCAGGAAGAGCTCCTCTTTGAAACAAGACCAGGTTTCACAAATCTCTTTGATGATCCCAAACAGCATCAAAGCCAGACCAGGGCAGTATCAAAGAACGGGAAGAACAAGTACTGTAGGACTGTGACATACAAAAGTGCTCTTACACTGAGATATCTAGTGCTGGTGCAACACTCTCTACTCCTGTACCTGAGGTTTTACTCATATTTTCTATTTCTGGACCTTGGACTCATCCAACTCCTCCTGAGCTCTTCAAGTGCCCATTACTCCACACAGTCTTTCATGAATCCTAATAATATCTATGCTGTAACATAATAACTGTTAAAAAGCCCATCCCAAAACCTCTCCCTCTCTCAAAATGCTGTCACATAATTGTGTACATGAAATCAAAAGCTAATTTCTTCCATTCTTTACTCATTCCCTAAATAAGTCCCTTCAACTCTTCCTTACGTGCAGCCTCCCAGTGCCTATCAGGAGTCGGATGCTCCAGCATATACAAAGTTAGCAGCCAAGGACCTGTTCTGAGGCACCCCCTGCCTAGTTCTGTTCATCCCAGTGTGATCAAATGGTGAAACTATGGATGCACTCAGCACACGTCTCTTCCAAGGGGCACGCTTATTTGCATGGTAATGAGGATGGCAATGAGCCCCTTGTCTTCAGATGAACACAAGGTTCTAGCCAGTGAAAACCAGCCAGAGCTGAACTTCAGAGAATTCATAGAGTTGGGTTTTAATTCTTTTCAATTTGTGGGTTTTATCTGGACAAAACTCGTACAACGGAAACTTCAAGGAGCTGCTAAACACTGAATGTGTTCTTAGTTTAGCAACCATCGGGCTGCTTAAGCAAGCACCAATCTCTTAAGTAGCCCGGCTCAAGCAGTAATCACCGGTCTCATTTCTAAAGGGACCCTTCTTTTATTTGCTTTGTTACCATCGCTTTTTGTTTTCTTTTCCTCGCTCTGAAAGTTGAAAAAATACTACATAAATCCGCAGCTCCTCTGAGAACCCAGTGTGCGCTGCAAGCAGGGCTCACAGCAGCGCTGCGAGAGGGGTTATGGTGATTAATACCCTTTTCCAGCGGGGAAACTGAGGCACAAAACCTCTCCCTGACAAAGGAATGAAAAGGATTATGTGCTTAATGAAGTCCGTCACCTGCTTTGGCTCCAAACACACTGAGCTATGGGGGGGTCAAGCTGGGACAACGCAATGTCAGGACCGAGAGACAGGGATTGCCTTGCAGAGAGCACAGGGTAGATGCTGGTAGCAGGCAGGATGGAGAGGGGGAGTCTGAGCAGGGAAACAGACCCATTCGCTATTGCCAAGACCTGAGATAGAATCCCAGCCTGGTTTGTGTTGGAGGGGACTTTAAAGCCCATCCAGTTCCAACCCCACTGCCGTGGGCACGGACACCTTCCACTAGAGCAGCTTGCTCCAAGCCCCTGTGTCCAACCTGGCCTTGAACACTGCCAGGGATGGAAAATTCAGTTTCACTGGGTACCCTGTTTCAGTGCCTCACCACCATCACAATGGAGAGATGGAGGAAAGGAATTGATGTCAGGCTTGGAAAACCACCATTGGTCCTCATTGCCCAAAGCATCAGATGGTGCCTGTAGGTCCAGGGTGATGGGCTGGGGACAGTGCACAACGTGGGGAGGCTCAAAGCCATGGCTGGATGAAGAGCAGAGGAGATGCTATGTGCAGCACAAAGGGGGATTATCCCTAGCACCACTGGGGTGTTTAAAAGCTCCTGGTTAAACACTCAGGGGTGCTGTTTCTGCTTTGGATGTGGTGATCCAAGCAGCCTTGCACCAACCTATAAAGCTCACCACTGCACCAGAAAGAATAAACCCCTTTAATCAAACACAACCAAGGTGGGATCATCGCCTCTACAAAACCTAACCCCGGTGCTATTGCTTTGCTCATAACCACAGGCTACACCACCAGAGGCTGCTCATTTAACTGCAAATACCATTCATTTCCATGAAGACCCCAGGTCTTGCCAGCACAGAGACATCAGTTCTGCTTATTGTCTTTATCCAATGCCTCCTCAGCACATATTGACACCCAGTGTGTACTCCAGCCCTAAGACTTAGGTTGGCCTTCAACATTCTGCATGGCTCCATCTATGCTTTCTCTCCTAACCATCAGTAAATGCCGACATCTGTCTATCTTCTCCCACATCCCCGTGATGGAGAAACCCACATACCTAATGCTGAGTCTGGCTGCAATTTGGCAACTTTGTAGGGACGAGTGTAAGGAAGCTCTGCTGGAACCAGTGCTCTGGGTTTCCTGGATGATGTTTTTCCCGCAGCAGTCAGCTTGGAGAGCTTTTATGCAGTGTCAGTCCCAAATTTCTTGTTCCTGGCACTTGTTTGACTGTTTTGACACCAGGCTTTTGAGCGCAGGGCAAATAATAACGATATCCAGAGCTAATGTTATTTACTAAAATACAAATTAACGCTCGGTCACATGGCGGCACGATTTGTCATCCAGCTAAAATTACAAGGAATTAAGGCTGAGTCAGAAAGTTGTTTCAGATGGGAGTGGGGAATGCTGAGAGCAATGGGGCCATGCGGGAGCAACACTGACATCTTCTGGCTGCAGGAAACACCTCCTGCTTTTCCATCAAGGAAAACCCACCGGGAACCTCCCGCGCTAAAGCATAAATAGGGGTTGGAGTGGATCAAGAGTTTACAAGCAGCAAGTAGGAGTGGTGGATCTGAGCCCACTTTAACGGTATACATGAGCATCCATATGGAATTTGAACAGGGGGTCTGTGACAGTGATGACCCAAAATACATATAGGAGGTGAAGAGGTGTTGCTCTTAGATCCATGAGGGTGACAGGGCTGCATCAACCTTTTTACATTGCAGGGTGAACTGTGCAGTGCAATAGGTAGGAAAAGCAGGTACCAAGAATTGATCCATGCAAAAAAGCCAAGCAACAATTTTCTGCCTTATCTGCAATGGGACGGGGCCTGTTGGCCTTGTGCTGATAATCCAGGGAAGTGTGGGGACCACTGAACCTGTTCCCCGATGTGATGCCCTCATCCCCTGCTCTAAGGTCTCAGGAAGCAGCTGGCACACAGGCATAGAAGATACCTCTTGGGTACAAGTAACCTGCATCTGTTCAGACCGGATGGCTGAGCCCACGGTGATGCAAACAACTTTGGCCATGGGGCTGGTGGGTCCTGCACCAGGACCTTCTCCCCTAGAGTGGATCCCCTTCAAAACACAGTGTGTGCTGGACTGGGGAGGGCAGTAGCTGGATGGTTATCTGGAGAAGGTGTGAGAAAAGTCATCCATCCCCACCCCTCATACTTGTGCAGCTCATGAAACAATTACCAGCCGCCCTCCAAGCTTCATGTGGTTGCCATGGCGGCTCACAGATGTATTTGAGGGTGCTGGGTCCATTGCTAGCAGCCTTTTTACAGTGGGGACTAGGAGGCTCCTGCCAAAGACATAGTATTACCTGTTCTTATCACTTTAGGGTTGATGCCTTGCAGTCCTGCAGTGGCCAGCTCTTCACTGCAGTTGTAGGCAAGGAGCTAGTGTCGGAATCACATCTTTTTCACAGGTCTCTCCTCTTCCAGACTGCTCTGACCATACCCTGCACCGCCATCCCCTTCCCCTTCCTCTAACCGTATTTCTTGTCATCTCTTCCAAGGTTCTTTCTTCCCATCCCTGAAGCCCTCCGAAGTTGTCTTCAAGGTCATCTTCTGGTTGGGATACTTCAACAGCTGCGTGAACCCCATCATCTACCCGTGCTCCAGCAAAGAGTTCAAGCGAGCTTTCATCAGGCTGCTCAAGTGCCAATGCCACCGCAGAAGAAGACCCATATGGCGCGTCTATGACCACCAATGGAGAGGAGCCTCCATGAACAGCTCAGTGCAAGACTCTGAGACAGACCTGAGGCCCAGGATTAACACCCTGAACAGCTCGTTCCTATTTAACTCCTCCTTGCAGGAGAGACCCAGTAAGAGGCGAACGCTCAGCTTCAAGGGCTGGAAAATGCTCACTCCTTTCCAGAAACCAGCGTCCACCCAACTGAAGGAGAAGATGAACAGCCTTTCCAACAAAATCCGGGGTGGCTCCAGCAAAGGGGGGGTGACAGCCACCTACAAAACAGAGGTGGAGTCTGTCTCCATTGGGATCCCTCATGACTTCACGGAAACCATTGACTATCAAACCTATGACTTAACAGACTGCTGCGGGCTGAGAGAAACAGATATTTGAAGCCACTGGGCCAGCTTTTGATGGTTTCTTTAGAGGTATCTAGCAGGAAGGTGAAGGGATACCATCTGTGGGTCTGCCAGGTGGACTGCAAGCAGCAATCAGGTATAAAATGCAGTTGCCCAAAGGTTATCAAAGCATCCCCCACGCAGAGGTCAGCTCCTTCTGTGGGATCATGGGCTCCTCAAGTAAGAGCCAGTGGCACATCCCATCTTAATGAGCTGCAGAGGGAGAGGAAGATATGGGGTGGATATGGCCTTAGGACGAGAGCTGTTTCCTCCAGTGGATGGTTATCTTTGACTCTGGAAGAAGCTGCGTTATGAAGGGAAACCAGGATGTCTCCTTTGCCTTAAAAACACCACCATCAAATCTAATGGAAAGATCGAACCCCAAAAGACGCCAACCCTGCCTTAGTACATAGGGTCATGTTCCTACCCAGAGGCAGCACCCAGAAAGGACACTGCTGAGCAGTAGCTGTCAGCTCATCCTTTAGATAATGGGTTGGGAGCTTGCAGGTCTACGGGGTTGGATAGGACCTCCAGGAGAGGCCTTTGTTTTGGGGGACAAGAAGACTGTGGTATTCCCAAGCAGGATGGGGTATCCTGACTCTCTGCCCATCGTTGTTTGCAGTGACCACAGCTTTGCCCCTTACACGTAACCTGGTTTTAGGCCAGAGGAGCAGTCCAGATGTGTACACTGATGCCAATGGGTGTGCAGGTCTCTCTTCTGTAATTTCAACCTGTGATGCATTTCTCATTTCACTTGCAACTGAAACACTTGCAACCCATCTTGCTCTAGTGCACATCTGTCTGTGATACAGAGAGAAAGCAGCTCCTTTTGGTATTGGTCATCCCCAACCTTTTCTTTCCCCTTCTTGCTCTTGTTGTTGTCCCTCTCAGACAACACAGAATAAAGGTGTATCCCAGGGGCTTCTCTCAGGTCTGTAGTCAACCTGCTCTGTGGCTCAGGAATGGTGGGATGGCTCACTCTGAGCCCTCTACTGCCCATCTAAAATGGAGCTGAGGTGCACTTGGAGCTCCTTCATGTAGATGGGTCTTCTCCCCCATCAGGGTCATGCTCATGACCCTTCTCCAAAGTGACTTCCCACATAGCTGATCCATCAAAGCCTTTGGTGGCTTTCAACAATGGCCCTTGGTTATGGCCGTTAGCATGGTCAAAAGCAATGTCAATAAGGTGGGGTTTTGCCCTGCTCACAGCCCTAGAGTGTGAGTTGTCCTCAGGAGGACACCATGGTCTCCTGGGGGACCTCAGGGAGGTTGGAGCCATGACAGCCCCACCTCAGCCAGGCTCACACAAGTAGTGCTTTGCAATTCAGAAGATCATCCAAAATCGACTTGACCCTGTATTGCAGGCACTGGTTTTGTCACGTTCCATACATCAATGAGCCACAAAAAGTGATCATCAGATTAAGCTGTGAGCAGAGGCAGGAGGCATATAGGTGATGGAGGCAAAGTCTGGATGTGATGTGCAATGTCTCAAGACAAGTGACTAAAGAACAGGAATATGAAGTTGAGGAGTGGAAACATGCAACTGAATGTGTCCTGGATGGAAACTCATCCACATTAGCACTTTTCCCAAACCACATTAGGAGTCTTTCATGAACGTGCCTACAGCACATCTAGCTAAGAGTGGCTATCAAAGGAGGATGAAAGGCTCCTAGGCACAGCACAGAGAATGTCACCTTTCTTTTTTCTGCTTTAAAAGAAATCAAATCATATAATGTCCTGGGTTCAGCAGTAGCAGTAGCCAATCTTTGGTTTCTTACTTTTATGTACAGTGCATACTGAGACGTGACGTGTGGAGCTGGCCCTGTCTCAACACCCTTAACACCCTTCTGCCCTTTTCTCAAGGCAAGACTCCAAACTGGACAAATTACTGCACAAAGACCTGCAGAGTTTGTCCAAATATCTTCATCCCAGCAGCAAATCCCACCAAGGCACATGGGCAGCATTACACTTACATTGAACCCAGACTCCTTACTGCCTGCATATTGCCCAGTGTCTGCAGAGGCTGCCAGCTAGAGAGGTTCAACCCTACTAAAAGCAAAGGTCTGACACTCCATGGGAACCTCCATGGGGAAATGCATCTTACTTGTCCCTGTTACTTTGGATGTCAAGGGAAGTGAGACCCTACAGAGGTGATGGGGTGACACAAAAGTCATTTTGCAGTGTAAAGACTGCAGATGCTGATGGTTTCCTGGGCTTTTTGGGATCCTGATGGGAAAGCATGTTGCTGGCACTGGGGATGTAGCAGAGAAGGCATTAGGGAGAGAACAGAGATGCCTGGAAGGTCAAGGTGAAAGCATTACTTCTGCCTTCCACTCACCTCTCAGGATGCATGTGCACAGATGCCACTATCAGAGGGAGTAAATGCACCCAGATCTGCATGTCTGGACCCTGTTCTGGTGACAGTGCTTTGCAGGTCTAACAGGCAAGTGCGTAATGTAAGTGCTTTGGGGCAGAGGACAAGCTGATGCAGGTATTATCAGAATTGAAAGTCTATTCAAGGGGGAAAGATGGACACTTGCCGTTAAATGCTCTCTGATGCTCAGGAGTGGGTTTATCTGGTGTCTCTCCACAGCCAGATGTCCACAGCACATGGTAACATCTGCATCCATGACCATAAAGATACACACACACACTTTACTATATTTATATATGTCACCTCCAAAATAGCACATTCTCCTCTAGATGGGCAGACATCCTATAAAGGGAGAACTTGCAGGGGCTTTTAGCAATTGCTGGCAAGCAGTTCATTCCCATGAATGAGTTGACATGATTGCTTCCATTTACAGCCTCCAGCCCCTTGAAAGCAACCAGAAGGGAAATAAGGATTAGTCTGGAGGTTTACTGCCTCTCCATCTCAATTCCTTACAGACCTATGAGGGAGAAAATGAGGATAAAGGCAGTTTAAGCACACATGCATATGCACACATAAAGGCCCAAACTGGCTTATTTACTTACTGCATCTGATCTGGCACTGAGATATACCCTAGAAGATGCTGTAGGGAAGTCTTGAGCTCTGCTGTGCTGCATTCAGGCAAAATGCTTGTTTCTCACCCAAGGAAGAGCCCCCTTTTCATTTAGCATCTTTCATCAGAAGAAGCAATGCCAAGACTAGACCCTGAGGCTGTTCATGTAGAGCTTCATTTAGAGTAGACAGGGTTGCCTTTGCTGGCAGGGAAGGAAGGACAGTGTTGTGTGAAGGATGACCTGAGCATCTAAAATTGTGCATTTCTCTTTGATTCTCTTTATCTCCAAACTCTCCAAGCTTGGAAAAATGGGCTCAGACTTTCAGGAGGTAAATCTGGTCTGATCCCACTCACTTCTGTGGGCCCACAATGGTGTGACCAGCCAAGGGTATGGCCCCGTTTCTCCAGCTCTACCAAGCAGGCCATTCCCAAAGCCCGCATACCTTGGTTATCCAGCAGCTCCCACCTCATTGCACTGGCTTTGTGTCACTAACATCACCATCAGACCTCGCTGCTTCAACAGACCAAGCGATGAGGATGGTGAACAGCAGCTTGTGCGTCAGTAGCCTCTCGCGAGTCCTATTTCAGGGGGAAGGAAGGTCCCTGTCAGCCTGAGCTGGACTGCAGTTGGGTTGCATTCCTATTGTTTACAGTGTGTATATAAGTGTACATTTTCTTTAGCAGACATTGGGATTTTTTATGTCTAGAGTTTTATTTTTCATCCCCAGATGTATTTATTAGCCGGCGTCTTTCTGTTCTGTGATTCAAGTCTTGTCAGATTGATGTAAGCTCTATGAACCAGAATGCACATATTTTTGTTCGTTTGTACCAAATACATGCACAAACCTGTCTAAAACCTTGCTGTGAGTTGTGGCCGTGTCTTATTTTCACAACAGAGGTTGTGGGGGATGAGGGAAGAAGGGAGAGAAACCTGCAAATTATCCAATATTGGTTTTCCTTAAAGACTTCTATGCAATTTCACAAGGATAATTGTTCCTACATGCAAGGACTTATGGTAAGAATGCACCAGAAGAGGACACTTTCAGCTTTATGCTGTACAGGGATGAAGGGATGAAGCCACATCTTATCCCAGATGATTTATGGAGCAGGAAGAATCTGAATGCAGACATGAGCAAGAAGGCAGAGAGAGGGGAAGCTTGTTGTGTAGTTGGTGGTCTGAAACAAGCTCTTGTGAAAGGATTTCCATGAAAGTAAGGGTTTTAGTTGAAAACTGAGATTTTAACTCATCGAACATTTCATTTTTCTTCTAACATTAAAATCTGAGCATCACTCACAAAACAACTACTCATGGTGAAATGGAAATAACATTTCCTATTCACCCACCTCACTCTAAGTGATTCACAAGATGTAGCCTGATGGCACCTCTGGATACGGGCACTGGTGTGTCAGGGCTGGGTGTCACGCAAAGGACTCAGAGTGGAAAGCCCAAAGGGGAGAATGGCAATAGAAGACAAATCACCTCTAGGATGCTAAAGCAATGTCATAAACTGCTTTAAGTAAGGGGAGAAACAGAGCTTTGGAAACATACAAGTACCCCATGAATATCTCTTTGCAAAACAAATGACACACACAGCCCAAGGCTGGCTCATCCTTCGGGGATGGCTCCAGGCAGAGGCAAAACATGCACCATATACAACTACAAATACATATACAAATATAACTCATCAGCTCCAGGGAAGATGATTGTCATGACTTCACCCTGCATTTTGTAATGCTCATATGTGGCTGAGTCAGACTGATGCTGGGGAAGGGGGATGGATGCTGTGTTCCCTGGTGAGCCCGCAGCAAAGGATGCTCCTGACGGATGCTACTCATGTAAAAGGGATTTCTTTCCCTCCTGTATCACTGTCAAGCCAGGCTGCTGCCTCGCTTGGATGCCACAAGGAAAGCCTCAGGTGCTTTGCTGTTGAATTCTCCAAGGGTATGATTAGAAAGACCCATGCCATGGCCACAGGGACTGAATGAGCCTTTGGAGCAACATAGGCATGTTGTTCTTGGCATCCTTCCTTGTCCCAGGTTTAATGCATGAGAACATTGTGTGGCCTGAGCTATGCAGACAGGATGAGGGGCCATGGCTACACAGTTCTGGTGTCTGTCAGACCCTGGGCTGGTGCTGGGCTGGCTCAATCTCACCTCACAGCAGCCCCCAAAAGCCCATGCATCTGTTAATGCACCCATCCAACCTGGCCTTGAACACTGCCAGGGATGGGGCAGCCACAGCTTCCCTGGGCACCCTGTGCCAGCGCCTCAGCACCCTCATGTAATATATGTATTTATAGTAATATATATTTTTATGGTACATATCTGAGACAGAAAAGGGAAAGGCAAAAGGGAAAATCAAAAGGGGATATAATATGGAAACATTGGATCAATATTTGATAACAGTCACAGACAAAAATTGCATGCTAGGGAATCTGGGAAACAAAACAGAGAATGGAAGAGGTGGACAATGACCTTGAAAATATCTTTGCATCTCTGAATATATCGATGATGTAGATGCGATTTGACTGCTGTTTGCTTTTCTGATCAGCCCAGGTTAAAAATGATGGAATGGGCTTAGAAAGGGTTCAGAAAAGGCTGATGAAGATGACCAAAGATATGGGAGAGTTTCCATCCAAAGAGCAATTAAATCAAAGGGCACTTTCCTGGAACACAGATGGCTGTAAAAGAACACGATGGAAGTCTATAAAACCTGGATTGTCAGGGAGAAGACAAACAGTGGATGATCGTTCAGTTTCCCATAATACAAGAAGAAATGACATCAAATCCAATTATCAAAATGAACAAAGGGAGGTGATTCTTCACACGGCACATATTGAAACGGCGGAATGAGATACTACATCTGCCAAAAGTCTATAGAGGTTGGAAGAGCAATTAGGTGCCTTCATGACTGAAAGTTCTATATCATCTCTGAGCTGAGCCCCTGAGGCAATGGTTGTCAGATGGGAGAATATTCCAGGGGATATTCCACTGTAGGCTTTTTCTTTACTTCTATCCCTTCCTGATGTTTCCGTCATCAAGGAGCAGGGACTCAGATAGAAGGACCCAGGCTTTGCACTGGTACAGACCTTTGCACACCCTTCGTCTTCATGCTGGGTAGCCCATCCATGCCACAGCTACATCATTCAATTCTCTGCCCATAGGTTAAAATCTGAAAACCATAGAATCATAGAATAGCTTGGGCTGGAAAGGACCTTAAGGACATCCAGTTGCAACCATGCTGTGGGCAGGGGTGCCTCACACTAGACCATGTTGCCCAAGACTCTACACAGACAGCCCAAAGTTAAGTCTCCAGTGCACATTAAATGAACGAGTTCACACCATTCTGCCATCACTGCGTGTCAATTCCTGCTACTGAACACCACTCACCAATTGAAAACCATCTTCTCAACAGACTGACTTTTAAGATCTTTCCATAGCAATCTGGGAGCTGCCCAGAGATTTCCCAAGAAACTTCAGTCATCTTGTGCAAAGGTTTAATTTCTTTCCCACTTTCAGACCTCTAAATGACCCTCCATAGAGACACACATCATGAATGGTGGCATTAAGGCCGCTGACAAGTAGGTTTGCTCTTCCTAGGTACCTTTAGTGGGATTCAGCTCACAGACTGGGACATCTCTGTTCCGATAAGGTGTCCATGTATGAGCCAGGTGTTTAAACTTCATTATGGAGCTCTAGGGCAAAAGAACACTGTTCCCTGATTATAGCTGTTTCATG